AGTGCCAGTCTAGCGGCGTCCCGCACTTGGTCACTTACAGACGAAAGGCGATGGGCCGTAAGGACCTGAGGTACCTGTGCAAGGTAAAGCTATGAAGGAAGTAAAGGTATGCAGCCAGAGCCATCTCTCTGCTCACTGGTTACCGCACTTTTTGGCGCTTGTGCAGGATTGCATGGCAGACTGCCAGAGCGGCAGCACCTGTCCCGAAACTCTAAGAGTTGGTGGTTCCAGTGCCGCAAGAAAAGGCAGCAACGTTGTCGACTGCAGCGTCGCGTTGCGGAAGACAGTGGTTGAGAGGCTTTTGGCTGTGCCCTGCCGTAAAAGAGGCTGTGCCCTGGCTGTTTATTCAGTACCTCCTGGTCCAAGAAGAAGGTTGCGACCAGGAGCTGGACGATTGGTGGATCCTCGTGATACTCCCAGTCCTGGTCGGGATCCTGACGCTGCCAGGTGTCCCAAGAGCTGCTCTGTCGCCACGAGCCCCAAGCCTCGTCCTCCTCATCCTCAGACCATTCCGGATTCCAGTCCTGATTCCAGTTCTGCTGGCCACCGTAAGAGGAGTCTTTGGAACGCTTGTTGGCCCGGGAGCCGATGCGAATGGCACGTTTGTGTCGTTCCGATTTCCCGGTGACAACTCTGGCCTCCGCGTCGTGAATAATGCGCACTCCCAGGTCTGGATGACGGCGCCGAATCATCCTGGACGTCAATCCTGCCTCCCTGCAAAAATGATTGTAAACTGCAGTCATAGTGGAGGCGATCATGTCGTACATCTTCCAGTTTTCATACTTGCTGAGACCGGGCACGTTGAAAAAACGAATAAAGTCGGGGTGGAGCCACATCTGCTGGTATAGCGCACCAAGTAGTCCATGAATCTTGGTGGGGTTCTCGAGTTCCGTATAGGAATCTCCGTGTCCCGTCGCCACCGTGACCTTGCCCTCTTTTGTCCGCACCTGCCGGACTGTGAGCATGCGCTCCCATGTCAGGCCTGATTTGGTCCGCAGCTTGGTGATGGCCTGAAACAGGCGTGGAACAGTGGACAGGTCCTTGATCCGAGCTTCCCAAAGAGGACGCTGCTCTGGGATTTCAGGCCGCCCAGCAGAACCAGCGAACCCAAGATCTGGAAGTTGGCAGTGCTCGCATCCAATTCTGAGCAGGCATTGGCTGCAGCTCATTCTTGATAGCTTCCTTGGTGAGCGGAACATCATCAGAGGCTGCGGTAGATAAGAAACGGGTCCCACGTTGGATTTGGGTGTGGCATACTGCGGTGGAGTTTTTCCCTGCGACGCCTTTGTTTTGTTGGGAGAAGGGCCAGTGCTCTGATTAGAGGAGGCGCCGGGAGGGGGGGTAGGGGGGGGGCTTGGGCGCAGAGTCGGAAACTGGAATGGGAGTTGAGCCGTGGTTTTGGGAGGGGTGGAAGGGGCCGCTGTGGAAGAGGGGCCCGACTTCGAACTCGGATGCAGGAGGAGGGATGGGAGGGGAAGGGATCACCGGAGCTGCTGGGTGGGAACGCTCCGTCGGGTCCGTGGGTTGAGGTGGGACCTCCGGCTCTGGTGGGACCGCCGTGGTTCGGTGCTTGGACCTGTGAAAGTGGCTTTTGATTCCGAACCAATTTGGACATGTAGTGAACTTGCCCACCTGATGCTTGACAACAACAACTACTACTACAACTACAACTACAACTACTACTACTACTACCACTACTACCACTACTACCACTACTACCACTACTACCACCAGTACTACCACCAGTACTA